CTAACACTCTAGGTTGTAAATTGAACACTATAAGAGTTAATAAATATTAACACTGTAAAAACAACACTCACTGCACACTGAAAAGTGTTAAAGGCAACACTGAATGATGTGGACACATATAGACACCATGCAGTGTTAATTTAACACTGGCACATTTGCTGTGTACATATAATATCAATAACCTGATTCATGGTGCAATGGTCATGTCTTAAATATCACTGTTTTAGAAACACTTTACAAACACTTCAAAAGACAAACGATCTGTACACTATTTTTGTTTGATATCACAGATGCTGATAACGGGCAAACCTCTGAGCCACTTGCTGGGGGACAGGGTGCCATTATTAGTGGAATGATGTTATGAAAGATCGTTCCTCTGTCCATGTTTAATGATTAATTATAAACACGTTGTGGGCCAAATATTATGTAGGACATAATCAGAAATAAAGAAATCAATAGACAAATTTATTTAAGTTTTTTTTTTCCAAAGATTCATAGAAAAATATTTTTTATTCCAAAGATATTTTTATTCATCTGTATGTAAATGAGTTGGGTGGCCCTAACCATTTTTCTAAAGCGCTATTGGCCAGGGGGGCTTTGCTGATCTGTGCTCCATTACTTTGGCCTTGCTTGGATGATAACAAATGCTAGCTGGCTTTCATGTTATTAATGCTAAGTTCACTTTCCAAGTCATCAGATTGCTATACCGTCCCTATGTATGGGGCTCTGTTTGTGCAAAAAATATGTCATCATGCATTTGGGGCTCCCATTTGTCCCAAATATATGTCAATAGCTTACTGTCTATGTCGGCTGAACATGTAACAAAGAATGACACATCAAAACAAAATTCATAACAACACATTAAGATGAGCTGCATAACAAGCAGTCAAAAGAGGAGGAGAATGATACATCAAAATGACATGTTGACATGTTTGGTCAGTGTAAAGTTGAACTGACAGACAAATGGGGAGAGAGCTAAAGCACTGGGCTCAAGACCTGGTCCAAAGGGTTCCATTCCAAGTCCCCAGGAGGGGTGTCCTCCGAGTCCTTCCCTTCTAGGCTGGGGGCAATAAGGGACACAGAGGCAGAGGCCAGAGTGACAAGAGGAGACCATGAGGTGGGTACCTGGGTGATGACAGGAGACGACAAGACAGGTGCCTGGGTAACAACGGACCCAGGGGGCACTGCAGGGGCAACGACAGTCTCAGAGGACACTGTAGGGGGTGAACATGGGCTCAGGAACCACTGAAAAGGAGAAGCTTCCTGGGCAGCCAGGTTCCCCTTTGCCTAAGGAGAGCCTCTGGGCAGAATTATAGAGGTTTGGCAAAGTCAAACGTTTTGGACAAGTCTTCCAGACACCAGTGGATACTCTCCCATCAATCCTCCTCATTGAATGTCAACACATTTGGGACACCTGGAGGTAGGCAGGGCTGAGTCAGGGCTGTGCAAGGATGACTTGGTCGTGGACCAAAGGGAGGACCAAGAGTTGGATCTGGTCCCACTGCAAAGTACCCTCCTGCATCACAAGTGGGGCGGTTTGGTGTATAACCCAGCCAGAAGCTAGCAGGTATCCATTCACTCCCTGAATGGTGAGAGGGGGTGACACTGGCTCCAGAGGGATCTTATGCTGCTGTGTGAGCTTCAGGTCTATAATACTCCCCATTGCTGCCAAGTCCAGCAGGGCTCAGTCCTCTGTGTGCAGATTGTAGAGCAGCAGAAGGTGCAGTAGCTGAAGGTCCATGCTATGGAATAAGACAAAAAGCACACAAAAGGTACTGCAATGGTGTTGTGCAGATCACACATCAGAGACTAAAATAAATGTCCAGCTTATGGCAAGAAATAGAAGAATTGGGAAAGTCAATATTTCTTGCTGTAAAATGCAAGAGTAACACTGCACTGCCATTGATGAATTAGAACAGGCAGAATGTGAAGAAATTCTAAGCATTACAGCGGCATCAGTGATTGGATGGCATTATAGAATGAGAAGCAGGGGCAGCTTTTTGCATCAATGCTTCAGTCAGATTTCAGCTACACTAGTGGCCAAAATTGTGGAAACACTTCAAATTTTTAGATTGCAGAACTATTCAACTGCTACGGTTACTTCTTTAATCGTCCATTGTATGATATTTGTAAACATTCTTTAATAGACATTACCACCAAAATTCCTGTATTAATTAATAGCTAATTTAGAGCGGAATTCCAAAAATGGTACTGGTTAGTGTAGACTGTGGGGCCAACTGCAATATACACATAGTGATTCCTGACATTGTGACTGAAAAGACAGATCAGTTACTAGTAATGTATGACAAAAAGACACTGTAGCCCTTCGTCTGATGCAAACATGTACTGAAGAACCTAAAAATATTAAATTTACCATGTAGTCTTCATGGACTATGAATCTGTTGAAGGTGCAGTAAGAGAATATACTGGCACTAGACAGTGCTGTGACAGAAGATTCCACAGAAGGGCCATGGACAGTGGAGCACATTAAAGCTACATATCCTGATGTTTTCAAAGACAATGGCTGCTTGGATGAAGAATATGAGATAGAAGTAGACAGGAGGGCAACACCAGTCAAGCTATCAGAGAGACAGGTTCTGGTTTCCATCATGTCTGCTTTAAAGGAAGAGCTGCTTCACCTAAAGAAGAGGGGAATAGTAACACCTGTGGACAAAAGCATGGAGTGGATCAGC